AACAACTCTGAAACTTAAAAGACTAAAACATGTCCGCAATGGAGGACCAGGTATCGACCTCTTCGCTGTCATCCCATGCTTGGAGTGGCTGCATGACTTTGATATCCTCTGAAGACAAAGTCTTCCACTTGGGAACTCCGTGTCGTTCAATGATGAAGTGGTGTATCTAGGGTAGTGGTAAGCCTTGCAAAAACATCAAACTCGAAGGAATAGCTCACAGCATCTCTCCACGACAGCGAGGTTGAACGACCGCGTCTAGTCATGCAAGGTTCACAAGCGAACGACAAGCGGCATTCATCCAGCTCAGCAGGACGTGTGGTCCTTGGATCCAGACCAAGATGATCCAATAAAGCCACTGCGGCTGCACATCCGCGCTCGCTTAGCTCGAGAGGGCCCATGTCCGCATACTCAACGCAGCGGAGATGTGATATCGTCGCTTGCCAGCCAATAACACATTCCGAGGAAGGGATGCTCTCAGACCTGTGGCATGTAGTGCAAATGAAGACGAAAGAAGCTGAATCAAGGGTGTAATGGCCGTCAAGATGTGCATGACTTGCGGGAAGCTTTTGCTTTGAGGAACAAAGGGAGGCAAATTCACTGAACGTCGTCGGAGGCCAACGTTCGATGAAGCAATCAACTTTTTTGGTGATATTCGATCGAGGGAGAGGGTCATCGTGAGATGAGTGAATCAATTCGGTGAAATGGTCATATAGTCCAATATCTTTGGGCTCCGGGAGGGTATTTTGGTCATCGAATGAAAGTGTGGCAAACTTTTGTCCGTAGAGCTCTTGGACAGAATCTATGCGGGACTGGATCAGGATTTCTCGCTCGTCCCGCTTTCGGATTGCCAGCTGCTTCTCAACAGCTTGACACAATTTAGGTTTGAGGGTGACCCAATCTAGTATGCACAAACTGTAAGACCTTCATCGACACAATACAGAGAATGAAACCCACTGCGACGAAAGAAACGTAAAGGATTTTTGAACGTGTATACTTCAGGTCTAAAATACATGTCATGTCCAGGCAGGTGGGAGCTCAGGCCTCCGGTGGATATGGCAGCCTGGATATCACATTCCTGATATCCTAGTCGTGTCATCCGTTGCATGAAGCTGCAAGGCGGTGGGGGTAAGAGAAATCCTGAAGGGAGTTGGCAAAGTATCACTTACACTTGTCTAACACTTTTGTATTGCTTCTTGAACTCCTTGGTAACCTTCTTATCTAGGACATAGCCCCATGACATGAAGGACGCGGCATTCTATCGCAAGTTCAAATCTTTTGAACGATGTCACTGGGACTTTGTGAGACTCACGTGGTGTATAGACCACCGTGACACTACACCCTCGACAACGTCGTCCTGATCATAGTCGAGTCCTCGTATCAGGATCTTGCCACCACGGTAGCCTTCCGATTTGGCCACCAGCTTATCCACGATCCTTTGGACTCTGTCGTGCGTCCGCTTCCATGTAGCATGGTCATCATGTAGAGGCAAATGAGCAATGGGTTGAACGAGTCTCGATATAAGCGGCACACTTGGATTGTCGTCAGCCTCATCAAGGACGGCATCAAGTCTGTTTTTTTTTGCCATTGCCTTAGAAATGCACAGGACAGAGTTTATGCTGTTACGAACATTTTGTCCTCGCACGGCCAACATACCCTCCGTCGGAAAGCAGGTTCAGGCTCGGCGGTGTCACCACAGTTCTAGGGTAGCGAAATGAGGATATTGTTCCCGGGAATGAAAGTGTGAGTAGTATACCAACCTGACATATGAATGCTCCGAACAGAAGTTCTGCCCACTTAGGATGGGGTACATCGTCAGGACAGGGTGGCAGGTCTGGGTTCCTCTCAAAAGTGAATGACCAGAGCCACCTGGATTGGTATGACATGACCAGGGTCCTAAAGCGTTTATTCGTACGAGATAAACAAAGGAGGTCCATTGGGTGTAGAAGAGCCAATATCTAGTAAAGCGTAGTAAGGGCCAAAGCAGAAGAGATTGTTCTGAAAGGGCACCTCAAATAGAATTTCATGCGGTTGATTCAAAAAAAGTTGTAGGTGCATGAGCGGCCGCACTTTCCACTCTTTGGAGCGAGCAAGCCTTTCTCGCTTCAGAAACATGATAGCTCGATGATTCACTGATCACAAGCAGGTCAGATTTGGCTGTATTTCCCAACGTAGGAGTACCTACATTTCCACATCTTTTGCTTCTTTGAGCGACCGATAATGCTCTCAAGCTCCAATTTGTCCATCCCATGGAACACGAATTCTGCGGACATGACGACGTAGAGGCCAGTCAACGAAAGCCTTTTCTTTTCGATGATCTTGCTTCAGTGTAGGATCTAGGATGCTAGAGCATTAAATGCGAAGCAACTTAATAACGAGTACGCAGAATGAGTCAAGGAAAGCCATATAGCCAAGCCGAATGGGTAACGCTGGCTGCAGGTTGCGCTACCGTGCGTCTCCACCTGTCGCAAACAGATCACAGGTAGTCAGTTGTCTGTCAAAATCCTCCCATGACAACACGTGGATTTGAACAGCTTCGAATTGGATCGAGGAAGAAGTGGTCGAAAGGACAGAAATAACTCCAGCTTGGCTCTTCAAAAGGTAGTCGATACTGTCGTTATTCACGATGGAGGATCGGTACAAGTCCCGCCACCGCCCTTAAATTCACATCGGCATTTGAATTGTGGGCCGGCCCAGTGACTGTCCTCACCTGCAACTGCAGCAAGTAATAATTCATCTACGCAGCTATGTATGAGGCATGCTAACAGCTATAGTCCGTGGTTCAAGACGATAGTAAGTAACTAATAATGATACTAATCAACAACACTCGACTTAAATGGTTCAAAGGCGACCAAATTTATCGAGAGCGGGACGTCCGAAGTTGGCCTACCCCAATGCGTCAGTATTATACAAGAGGTAAAGAGATGAAAGACACTCACAGGCGGGGCGGGCTTGTTGTTCAATATCGCCTCGATCTTCCCCAAGATCTCGGGTGTAAGGCGAGGGAGGACTTCCAGCGCCTTCAGGTTCTCCTTGAGCTGCTCAGGCGACGACGCGCCGAGGATGACCGTCGAAGTGTTGGGGTTCTTTGCTACCCACGCAAGTGCAAGCGCGGCCGGGGTAGTTTGCAGTTCTACAATGTATTTAATTAGTAATGGTCATAGGCGCGAGAATAAAAGATCTACCGTCGGCCGCAAGCTTAGTGAGTTCCCGGACCTTGCGGATCTTCTCCTTGCCCTCTTCCTGTTGGAGAGACTCGACGGTACTCTTGAACATAGCGGTAGTGGCGAAGCGCGAGCCCTCGGGGATGCCGTCGTTGTACTGCGCCGCGTTGTCAGACCTAGCTCATGGCGGCAGTGGCGCTGCGTACCTTTCCGGTAAGCAAACCGCTGGCGAGCGAGGACCATGTCGTGGTGCCGAGGCCGTACTTCCTGTAGAGGGGTCTGGGGTGATGTAAGAAAAGTAGCTTCAAATAAGGTGAAGGGCTTACTCGTATTCCTTCTCGGGGCGCTCACGGTGGAACATGCTACAAACGGCTGAGCGTTAAGAAAGATAGGAGGAGGCAACTCAAACGCACTGGTGTTGGCATTGTTCAGCGATAGGCCCAACGAGGTTTAGCTTTTCGGCAACATCTGTTGGAGGGCGTGAGAGATGCAATCGTGCAACAGATAATGGTGCATACGATATGCCTCCTCGATCTCGCGCGCACTCCATTCGGATGTGGCCCAGTAGAACGCCTTCATAACAAGTGAGCAAGTAGATGTAAAAAAGACACGAAACCACGACGCACCTGTCCCTTTTCGATCACATAGTTGAACGCCCTGACGATCTCTTCCATGGGAACGGTGTTGTCCGGTCGATGCGCAAAGAGGACATCGACATAGTCAAGGCCAAGACGCTCCAGACATTCCTTTGTGCCCTCGATAATGCTGGAATGGATGTCATGTTTGGAACCTTTATACGGACCGGCAAGAACTCACTGTTTACGCGAGAGACCACCGTCGTTCGGGCCTTTGCGCAGGCCCCAGAAGAGTTTGGTGGTAACAACGAGATCGGTGCGGCGCAAACCAAGCTCTTTGATCACACGTCCCCTGCAAACAGTCTCAGCGCCTCCCTCACTTCAAAAACGCGACGACGTACATCTCGAGCTCGGACTTACCGCCCGCGTATGCCTCTGCCGTGTCGAACATGTTGATCCCGGCATCAAAAGCGGTCTTGATGATATCCTAGTCCAGCTCGCGTCAACACTCGAGATCGAACCAGATCGTAAGACGGTAGATAACCTTAACGGGGTCGCCAACTACGGATCCGCCAAGAGTCAACCCTAAACATAGGATCGGCGCGTCGATCAGTGCTCCTCTTCGCTTCTGCGATCAAAACACCCACATCCTCCGAGAGAGAAAACCGGGACGCGTAGACCGCTAGGTCCGAGGCGCCTGAACGGCATGTTTTTGGGGTCGAATTCATTGAGGACGACAGCTTGAGAGCTCATTGCTGCAGGTGATGGATGAGTGGTGAATTATCGAGTAAGATAAAGTGGGAAAAAATAAGCAAAAACTTAGGAGCTCGTCTACTTATAGCCTTTGGTGGGATGATGACGAATGTCGCCGTGCTGATTCATTATCTGATCAGACCGGAATAACTTTACACCGTGACATCGACCAAAACGACGACCTCAGGAGTCAGGAGACTCAATCTACCTGCGGGACGCGTTACTCACTCCTTCGAACGCGTAACAAGGCGCGTCCATCTCCTGCTTCGAGGCAAATGGTCGCCCCTTGAGGTTGACAAACTGCGCTGAACTCACAGATAGCACACGACTTCACCATCGGTCATTGAACGTTGAACTCCTGGCTGATCTGTCCAACAGATGAACACAAGTTGGACATGTATCAGCATTTCACTCAGCATCCATCTGCCTTATTCAACCTCGGGTAGGCCTCAGGTAGGCTGGGGTACGATAGCATCGCAGTTCAATGTATAAAACCTTGTTGAAACATACATCGGGTATGGTGTAACGGCTAACATTGCCGCCTCTCATACGCTGGTGCGCGGCAGCTCGGGGTTCGATTCCCCGTACCCGAATGTTTTTTCGACAGGGCCATACATACTCACAACCATATTGTTTGAAGTTCACGCATTTTGTACGGTCAACCTTGCCAGTCTCAGACAGGGACAGGGAGAATCACAGTGATGTGAACTTTGGGGTTGTTATTATGCTGGCAGTAGTATGTGGAAGTACGGAAGTACTCTGACTTGCATCTCTTCACCACGCGTTGCATGTAGCAAGGAAACAGTACTCAATGACGAAGTGCTGTACATATTTAGTTTGAAGTTCGTCAGTTTGATTCAAGACGCACGCATGACAACTCAGACTGATACGCCACCAAGGGAAAGTAATCTGGGCCCAACTCAGGCGCCTGTGCCTGGAGAGGACCCGTACTCACGGTCATCAAGTGTGGAGTGTCTGCTTGCGTTATAAAGCTTGATATAGTTGCGGAGTTGACGGCATAAGCTCCAAACGAGACGCGCTCTCGAAGGGGAAGATCCTACGGGTCACAGTTGGGGCTTACGGCGACCGGTTGTAGAGATTTCTTTCAAGACAGCCTGTCTTTTAAATATCGCCTCACGCACAGTGGCCTTTGCATCTTTTGCTGCGCCACGAAATATACAGTGCTGTTTAAACTAGTGGATATTGAGCTTCAAGCTTCGAGCTGCAATCCAACACTTTGTTTATACCCAGTTGTAAGTTTTCCAAGTGGCATCGAGCACTTACATACCCTTTTTCTCCCTTTTTCCCGCAACATCATTAGTGATGCTACTTGATAGTAGACCTCTTCTCTGTGGAAAATACTAGAGGTAATCCCTAGTTGCTTCAGATACAACCCGTTTTATGATAGAGAGGTTCCAAGCATCTTCAACTTTTTGTAGGTTTGACGTTGTGGTGGTTCATAATAAGAGAGAACCCAGATTGTCCATGTGTGGCTGTGCTTTGGAGCTCCGTAACGAAAACATTCATCTGCTAAGATGCGCCTTCAACTTCTTGCCCTTCTTGCGTTTCCTTTCCTTTCCTTTGCCTCACAAGAAGCGCAAATCCCAATGGCTAACTCACATCTGACGGACGAGACGCCCTTGACGCACTCCAAACCCACTTTGGCCGACCTTTTAACAATCGAACCCTCTGCTTCCATTTTCTACTCATACGCTCGCGAACTGGAGCTCAGCGCCAACTTTGCCGATTCTTCAGCCAAATTCACTGTGTTTGTGCCGACGAATAAGGCGGTTATGGCCTTGGCGCGTAAACCGTGAGTGTGGTGTTAGCCGGAGACCACTCAGACTGACACTGGTTTATGTCAAGTCATCAAGGCCCTTCTGCACCCTACGACGACGGAATTACAATCAGCGAGCAGGAATATGATACTAGATCGAAGAAGAATGTCGAGAATTGGGTGTCAGCGCACATTGTTCCTGTCAGTGAAGTCTGTTCCAAGTACTTCCTCGAGTTTTCTCATTTCTCTGCAGGACTTCCCCATTACACTCGATACCAACCGGCACCTCACTCTTTTGGAAGGGAAATCCGTGACCTTCACACCGATCGGCAAGAGTGACGGTCAAGGTGCCCAATGGAGCCGGGTAACCTTAGAGGATGGAATTCATATGATCGGGATGAAGGAGGTGAGAACGACTTCACTTTCTAGAAGGCTCTAAGTTTATCGTCCTCCAGGGGTCGAACGGCGTCCTCTACCTGATCGACGGCTCCATTTCGTACAATTGACACTAGCATCATCTGGATCCCCCCTTATGCCCTATCTGTACTTTTAATTGTGAGTGACCGCCGTAACAATCCCAGAGTGTGCTGCTGATGTTGCGCGGGTCATCTTTAGCAATAATACAACAATTATATCACCTGAGGCCTGAACTGTTGAGAACGAGGTTGAAGCATCTCAGTCGTACGCTGATCTCAGATAAAGCATGTCGAGGTTTTTGATAGGTACGATGAGAGCCCAACAAACTTGACATGGATGAACAAGACTTCTTAAGACTTAATCCATAACCCTATGTCAACAAACGCAAGATTTACTCCAGAACTAATTGGTCATTGGGCGTCTACAGCGTCCCTCTGGGGTAATAGTCTTTCGCCCAGTATCACTTGGTCTCCCACAGGATACAGTCCAGGAACAGGGACACTGATAGACGTCGACGTCATGTCGAGAGGGGTTTGAAAACAAGATCGGCCAATCTATGTATGGACTTGCATCGATCTCGGGATCCGTAGACCGTTGGCGCATGAGAATCCACCAGGCGGTCCGCGAGCGTTTCAGCGAAAGTGTACCAGTCCTGAGTCCTCTTAGTGCGTTCGGCAAAATTTCGGGCTTGCATCCCTCTCCGGGCGAGGCCCCACCGCCACTCACCCCTCTGAGCGCAGTCCGAGTCATGTCTCGAAATCCCCATCCCAATAAAGCCTAACGCTTATCAAAGAGATCGGCGTAATCGCGACGCATGGGGGAACTGAGTCTGTGTTCGACCCTACAGACGTGCCATCGCCGGCTCGGTTCGAGAGGTTATACATGCACGTTCACGTTCACGTTTCTTCACATACTTGGGACGTAGCGCTTATCTTATCGGCATCGGAGCTGATCTGGTGGTGGACGTGTGCGCAATTGTGTCCACTTTTGAAGAATGGTGGCAGGTTACGAAGACAAGGTGTGTTGCACCTATGGAGGTCAAAAATTCTGGCGGCACCACTCACTATGTATCCATGACAGATCAGGAAATCACAAGGGTTGCGTACAACGTTGGCACCGATGGCTGCCCAGACGTGCTTTTGGGAAGGCGACGGATGATGAATCTGTCGAGGGGCACGCTGTTCATGCAGCCATGCTACTTGATGCTCACTGCCTTCCACATTCAGTCAGTCAAAGAAAAGACTCTGTTTTGTACAAGTGTGGTAGCGGATATTCTTATTTTCACCACTGATGGCGTGATACAGAGATACTCGTGAGTTTGGCTAGAGGGGAACGGATCTTATAGTAATGCACAAAATCATGCCAGAAGGAGGGCCGAGAGAGGAGTCTACCGGGCACTGTCGCGGAAAAGTAGGCATCAGCATCCTAGCTTCGTAATGCTATTCACCCGACGGTTCATTGGAGGCGCGGGAGGCTCACATGTCACCAGGTTCATACGTTCCGTATTATTCGCCCGATCCTTTGACGTCATTTCATATCTTCCATGCAAGCAGAATGTCAATAAGGCTTTCCAACGCGTCATCTGCCATTAGAAAGGATCCAGCAGTACCATATCTATATTCTCCATCCTTCAATTTTAGCTTATAGTGGCCTGGGCCTGGACGTCTGGATGGAGGATAAAGCGCACGAGTATGAGGGGCGCGTCATCATGCATCAGGCGTTGCGCCATCGATATCTTTGACAACATTGATTGGCATGGGTGTGCCTTTTACGGATGCGGCAAATGACTTACCTGTGTCAATTGCTCATTGTCGCCACAAATCGGATAACGCTGATTATCAGCCTCGAATCGATGAGTATGTCCTCTATAAATTTCATTGTATTACGAATGCACACAGTAGAAAGGTTCTCGGGACTCCTTCAAGAACTACTGTACCATTTTGTTCAATTCGAACATCACGCATCACCTCGGAGGCCCCAAAATTGTTCGAATTGTCACGCCTGTCCCGCGTCACTGGAGCCCCATTCGAAACTACTTGAGCGGCCCGAAAAAGAAGGAAAAAATCCTTGAACCAGGGGTGGTGGAAGTACGCGTTTTTCTTGTGGTAAATATTCTTATTGTTCTAGAAGCTACTGCTTCAAAGCTAGACTAACTAAGTCCATTCGACGCGTTAGCTGCCCATGTATTTCCGTATTTGATGGTGAGGTATGGGCGTTGTCACACACCTTGGTGGGAGGTGGGATTGTTCGAAGCAAAATTTTAGAACACCAGATCACAGGTCATACCCCTGTTCGTATTGAACGAAACGGTACAGTAGACATATAAGCGTCGCCTCGCGTCGACAGAACCTTTGCTTGAGGCTCGTTACTGCCAACTTATTTTCGAGAAGTCAGAACAGATTGCACCAAGTATAGTGACCTAAGCATCCCTCGACGGTCTTAGGGATGTCGACGTCTCGTGTCGCGCTTTGGTTGCGCTGAACCGTATGAACGCGTCTGCACGATAAACTCCATCTGATGGTTCCATCAAAAGTGCTTACAATTATGAACATGTAACAACCCTTGTAAGCAAGGGAATTTATTGTCATCGATGTGCCTAACTCGTTCTAACGGAATTATAATCAAATGCAACGCGGCATCCTTCTCATCCACGAGGTCTACTCAACCGTTCTTGATTGATGGCGCCCGTTGTCCATCGGTTTGAATTTCAAGCGTTGTTTCGCCACTCACGCCACAAATATCAACAACCTCATCAACAGCTGAAGAAATCATAGCATCGTTCCTCTCGGGTTTGCCACGGATGTTTGTCCTTGCGGGGTTTTGGTTTTGTACCATCAAATCATTTGGATCTCCCCTCTTGAGTATAATTGCGAACTACGATCACATCGCTGTTGTCGGCTTGCGCTGTTCGAAACCCTAATACAACTTTCCTCAGCATGACCTTCCCCACGAAAGATTTTGATGGATCTTGAAGCTTAAAGTGGGGTCCCTGACCTGATGTTGCAAATACTAGAGTAGATCGCCGAGCAGGTCCTTAACAACGTCAAGGTTCCCGCGCCTCCAGTACGTTATTCTTCATGCATGGAGTCGCTGATGCTGGTCGCAAGTAAGCTTTGAAGCTTGCACTAGATAACTATTGACTTTGGGAGATTGGAAGGCGCCGCGTAGGTAAGGTGGCTCGAGTTGTTTGTCGCGTATCATGACGACACCATGACACATGTTTCCACGAAACAAAACTACGTGACCTTCTTGAAGTGTAGCCTGCACCTCCATCGAGGCATCGTGCGGTTTCGGCGGCTTTGTTGATTCTCAGATTGTGCGGGCGTGGTAGTCAGGGATTTCTCTGTACATATGTCAGTCGTATCAACAATTGTCCACGGGTTCGTTCATCTTCAGTGA